TGTAACCCCCATGTCTGCTTTAGTCCTGGGCCCAAGCTGAGCTTCCTGAGTGCTAGCCCTGGGGCCACCTGACACCCCAGGCTGTTCTTCACCTGCCCACCACCCACCCGTCTGTCCAGATCCAGAACAAATAGCAACTCTCCTTGGCCCCTCCACACCTCCCTACTTTCCTCCTCCTCCTCCTCCCCAACTCCTGAAGAGTTCATTCATTAATTCAGCACATATTTGCGGAGAGCCAGCTGTGGGCCAGGCCTGGTCCAGGCTCTGGGGACAGAGCAGTGACCCGGCAGAGTGCCTGGGGCAGCAGTGGCAGCCCTGAGCCGGAGCCATCGGAGGGGACCTGAGCAGGCGCCAGGTCCCACGGGCCCTGAAAGCCATGGACAGGCGCTGGGCTTTTAAGTGTGCCGAGAAGCCAGCGGGAGGTTTTAAGCAGGAGAAAGGAGTGACGTTCAGAGCTTCCCCCTGGCTGCTCTGTGGAGAATGAAGGCATCCCTTGGTACAGCCAGCACCAGGCCGGGTCATCACCACCTGAGTCCATCCCCCCCCCCCCCCCCCGTAAGACAAGGACTCAGTCCCATCTCTATTGGGCTAGAGATGAGTACAACCCAAATTATGGTGGAACTGAATCTCTCTGAGTCCTTCACGTCCCTGCTAAGCAGCCACCCTGGTGTCTGAAGAGCTCCCAGCCCGGGGGCACCCGCCGCCTCACCGCACATGTGCACACGCCCGCGCAGACACATATCTCTAATACTAGGAAGCATGGACTATGCTTGTGGACATAGAACAGGTAGCCTGGGGCAGAAGAGGAGAACTCCATGGGGGAGGGGGCAGTGAGAGGTGACAGTGAGGGCACAGGACCACCTCTACCCCCTTGAGGGGGGTCACTGCTTGGCGCCTACCTCAGGTCACCTGTCAGCCCGTGTCCTCCCCAGGGCATGGGGATGGGGGGAGAAGGGGAGCTACTCACATTGCCCTCATCGTCCACCACCTGGATCTGCCCAGAGTCGCAGAGCTTCACCACCGCCCCAATGGGCACATCGAACTCCTGCCCGGATCTCAGGTCCATCCAGACATAGTCCCCCTGTGGGTGAGAGACATCCCAGGCCAGGTCAGCAGGGATGAGGTTCGGGCACCCCTTCCAAGCAGCCCTGTGCCCCATCCCCACCCCCACCAGAGGCTTCTGTGCCAACCACAGGAGAGGGTAGAAAAGGGTACTTGCACTTGCTGAAAGCCATTTGGTGCCAGGCCCTGGGCTGGGCATTTATGCAATGTCATCACCCCTCCTCTGCAGCAGCCATCACTGCCCCGATTTTACAAATGAGTAAGCAGAGGCTTGGAGAGAAGAGCCGAGATCACACAGCTGGGCAGCTTCAAACCCAGGCCTGTCCAAGCCCGGCTCTCTGAGGCTCTATACCTCACACATGTAGAGCAGACTCATTGAGGTTTAGGTAGAAACACCAAGCCACCCAAACCACGTCTCCTCTGTCCTAAAGGAGGCGGCCCCACAGGACACCCGAACAGGCCAATTGTCATGGTTGTAGTTAAGGGTTCCTCACAGTAACAGTGCTCTGGGCCGGGCCCTGTGATATGAGTTCAGTTGCCCCGTCTCCTGGCTTGTGGGTAGAGCCCTGACCCGGAGGGGGGGAGGGGGGGGTCATGTTTGTGTCCTCGGAAGCATCTGCCGTAGGGCCTGGCTCTCAATAGGGCACGTGGAAGCCAAATGTAAAACCCAGAGTCAGAGAAACGGACTTCGAGCCACCACTTTCCGCCACGATGCATTCAACAAGCATGTATGGAGCACCTGCTGAATACAAGGCACCGATTGAGCTAAATGCTGGGATTGAGCAGCGACATGGAGTCTGCACTCTGGTTGGGAGGACACAGAAAACAAAGAGCCGAGCAAGTACGTTAACTCGCACAGGAGAGGTAGAAAAGGGTACTTGCACTTGCTGAAAGCCATTTGGTGCCAGGCCCTGGGCTGGGCATTTATGCAATGTCATCACCCCTCCTCTGCAGCAGCCATCACTGCCCCGATTTTACAAATGAGTAAGCAGAGGCTTGGAGAGAAGAGCCGAGATCACACAGCTGGGCAGCTTCAAACCCAGGCCTGTCCAAGCCCGGCTCTCTGAGGCTCTATACCTCACACATGTAGAGCAGACTCATTGAGGTTTAGGTAGAAACACCAAGCCACCCAAACCACGTCTCCTCTGTCCTAAAGGAGGCGGCCCCACAGGACACCCGAACAGGCCAATTGTCATGGTTGTAGTTAAGGGTTCCTCACAGTAACAGTGCTCTGGGCCGGGCCCTGTGATATGAGTTCAGTTGCCCCGTCTCCTGGCTTGTGGGTAGAGCCCTGACCCGGAGGGGGGGAGGGGGGGGTCATGTTTGTGTCCTCGGAAGCATCTGCCGTAGGGCCTGGCTCTCAATAGGGCACGTGGAAGCCAAATGTAAAACCCAGAGTCAGAGAAACGGACTTCGAGCCACCACTTTCCGCCACGATGCATTCAACAAGCATGTATGGAGCACCTGCTGAATACAAGGCACCGATTGAGCTAAATGCTGGGATTGAGCAGCGACATGGAGTCTGCACTCTGGTTGGGAGGACACAGAAAACAAAGAGCCGAGCAAGTACGTTAACTCGACCACGTTGAATCGTGGTGAGGGCTGTGAGGGAGATACGCACCGCGGTGGAGAATGGCTGAGTGGCCAACCATAGGTGCAGTAGCCAGGGAAGCCGCTCTGTGCAGGAAATCTCCGAGGTGAGACCCAAAAGGCGAGAAGCAGCCAGACAAGGAAAGAACAAGGACAGAAATCTGGGCAGAGAAAATGACACGTGCAAAGGCCCCAAGGCAGGAAGGCCATTGTGTCAGGACCTGAGAGAGGTCAGTCACAGAAGTGGGCACGCTCCAGGGAAGAGGGCCTCTCACTGGCCTGCAAGTGAAAGTTTGGATTTTATTCCAATCCTCATAAGAATATTCTTTTTGGTGGTTCCCAAATTCTCCAGGAGGTAGACATCCTAATAAAAATATAACTTACTATCAAGCAGCAGTTAGAAACCTAACAGCTGATAAAAACTGATTCACAGTGAAATTAGCCCATGGGAATGGCCCAGGGGAAAGAGCTCTGGGCTGTGAGTCAGGAGACTGGGTTGTAGGACCCGCTTGGCCTTGGACCAGTGGCTGACCACTCGGAGCCTCGGTTTCCACATGTCCCAGTGAGAGGTGGGCTCAGTGAGTCCCAAGGACAACTCAGCACCGTTCCAATCCCTTCTATTCGCACTGGAAACAACTATTTTTCAGCCACAGCTGCCACTGTGGGTCTTTGCTTTATGGGAGGTTAGCACATGTTAGAGACAGGCTTCGTCCAAACCCAAGCTTTTTCCCAGAAAAAGTCAACATAATTGGAGAGCCTCTGGGAGGGGAGGACAACTTACGTGTTTACTGAGTATCTACTGTGTGCCCGGCCTGCATGGCTGCTTCCATAAACAGCCCCATGTAACCCCCATGTCTGCTTTAGTCCTGGGCCCAAGCTGAGCTTCCTGAGTGCTAGCCCTGGGGCCACCTGACACCCCAGGCTGTTCTTCACCTGCCCACCACCCACCCGTCTGTCCAGATCCAGAACAAATAGCAACTCTCCTTGGCCCCTCCACACCTCCCTACTTTCCTCCTCCTCCTCCTCCCCAACTCCTGAAGAGTTCATTCATTAATTCAGCACATATTTGCGGAGAGCCAGCTGTGGGCCAGGCCTGGTCCAGGCTCTGGGGACAGAGCAGTGACCCGGCAGAGTGCCTGGGGCAGCAGTGGCAGCCCTGAGCCGGAGCCATCGGAGGGGACCTGAGCAGGCGCCAGGTCCCACGGGCCCTGAAAGCCATGGACAGGCGCTGGGCTTTTAAGTGTGCCGAGAAGCCAGCGGGAGGTTTTAAGCAGGAGAAAGGAGTGACGTTCAGAGCTTCCCCCTGGCTGCTCTGTGGAGAATGAAGGCATCCCTTGGTACAGCCAGCACCAGGCCGGGTCATCACCACCTGAGTCCATCCCCCCCCCCCCCCCTC